CTCGAGGCCACGACATAAGGATGTCGTTACCTTGAGAAAATGATCTTTTGGCCACGACATAATATCATGTTCCCACGAGTTAATATGACATTCCCTCAAATTAATATCTTGTGACCGCGACATATTATCACGTTCCCATGAGTTATGTCGTGGTCATGACAAAACTAAGTGAACCATACATGTCAGCTCCCGGGTACCGTAGGTCCGAGACAATTATTTTTTAAAATCAAATTGCACAATATTCAAATTAATTAATCAGATTATATAAAGGCGTATTGGCATGATACAATCACATTTATCAGTATTTGCTGAAAAAGCAAGAGCGGTGTGAACAGGGCCATACTCATAATGGTCTGCTTAACTGGGCTAAATGAATGTGTTAAACTGACAGCCCTAATGAGTATATAAAACTTTCATTCTGATGCTGTTTAGTTGCAGATTTAAGATAAGGAAAGTACTGCAAGCGAAGTTTTCAAACCACCAAGTACATGCGGTGCAATAATGATACCAACTGGCCGGATGTTTGTGCGAAAGCAAGCCGAGGAAAACAAAACGTTTTTCATGTTTGTTCTATTATGAGGCAGGGAATTAGGTAGTTTATCATATGGAGAGCAGAAACACTGAAAGAGGACTTAAAGGGAATATTTGTCAAATCCAAGATTGGAGATGTGGGATTTACGCCAGTTTGCCAAGGACTCGGCAGAAGCTTAGGCCCGCGTGGTGAGGCTTTCTCTGGAGGCAGTATTGGGAACAATAGGCCACTGATTGATGGTCAAGGACATTGAACCCTTCTCTCGAAGCCAGAGAAGACTAGCCTCCAGGGAGAAGGGCTGCAGCCAGCCGTCGTCTGTGCAGATTACCTGGAGATACGGCCACACTCACATAAGCGCCATTGAGATGATTGCTTTCAGTTAATTATGTAAACTGCTGTTTCGTTTGCCACTGCTGTACTACATGTGTTTTAGGGAGAAATGATTCTGAATTTGCACAACAGTATGAATTTAAAACAGTTGACTGTATATTGAATATGTTTTATTTTATTAGATAATGAGCCAACATTAATTTTACTAAGGGTCATTCAGCAAAATTCAGAATTTAAAAATAGCCTCCCTTTCATGAGATCAAATTTGAAAGAATTGAACACGCCTCACAGGAAGTTGAAGTGGAATTTCAATTGAAATGTCAGAAAGTGGAATTTACTAAATGGCAATTCAAAGAAATTCAATGTAATGGCATTTTGGGAAATTAAATGTTTATCACCCTATAAAACCTTATAAAGTCATGTTCAACTTTTTTCAAACTTTCAAATAAGATTGTCAAGCTGATATTGAAAGTTTGTCTTGATAAACCTTCCCTTTTTTGTTAATAATTTGACTTATTGGGGTTGTTAATTTCTTTACATTTCTGCTCTAATGTTCAAAATCAAAAATACAGTGAAAGCAGTAATATTGTGAAATATTATTAAAGAATAAAAGACTGTTTTCTGTTTTATCATTTCTAATCTATTCCTGTGATGGCAAAGCTAAATTTTCAGCAGCATTACTGGTGTCTTCAGTGTCACATGATCTTCAGAAATCACTCTATGCTGATTTGGTGCTCAAGAAACATTTTTTTATTATCAGTGTTGAAAACAGTTGTACTAGTTCCTCAAATTCAATTCAGGAATTGACTAATTAGAACCAAAACTATCCATTTTATAGTAATACAATAAAAATGGAAACTGTGGAAATAGTCTTATTATAACTGTAACTTGTTTTATCATAGCATAAGAGCTGAACAAAGAGGGAGAGCATTGAATGGAAGGATTAGGTAGCTTAACGATGGGTCTTGTGTCAGTTAAAAGGAATGGTGGGACTCGAACTAGCAGCTGGTTATAGGGTGGCAGCCCCTCTTTTTATTCTGTCACACCAACAACATAATGCATTAAAAAACTTAAGCTGTTAACTAAATCAACCAAAACAAATACACAAAGTAGAACAGAGGGAGAGCTCTCATTTGCTTTAATTGGAGTCTTGTACTTATATATAGGCTGCGCGGAAACTTCTGTCTGTGGCCTTAAGCTGTTCCTCAGCGATCATTATGCAGAATTATAATACGTGTCCTCTTCATAATCATACAAATTGAAGGTTTTGCGTGCTTTAGATAGAGTGCATAACCATGATTTAGATGCACATGACTGATTACTCCCTGATCCGAACTTAATGAGGAAATGTATGCTCTTGCATCTCAAGATATGCCATCTTTAAGTGGTTAATCCGACGATTTGTTTTTAAATGCGAAATGTCATGGCATTCCTAATACCTGAACTAACTTCAATCATATGTCTGTGGGACCGCCATGTTGTTGCAAAAGCCAGTGCAATAACCTCTTTTCTCACTGTATTTACACACTTTAAATTTAAAGCAGTGTAATCACAAGGCAGCCACTGTCTGGATGGGGAGGGGTTGAGTTAATTAAAATGGCAAGTGCAGTAACAACCTGCACCGTCACAACAACAGACTGATTTAGACGCAGTGGGATATTAAACAGCTCCCTAACTCACACAACACAGCCAGGCAGGTAATATTGGTGCTTTCCGTAATTGCTTCTATAGTGCCAGATGATAGGATGTTTCTGGCATGACCCTGAATCATCGCCGACATTCCAGTAGCTATTAGTCTGATGGGGCACTGGAAAGAAATATACTGTAGGGACAAAGCGTTTCGTCCTTTTACCATTCACAGGCCATATGGCGTTGTTTGTTTTTTGACGAAAGAGTGCTTATAGTTAGATACTGCAGCAGGTGCCTATAGCCTAAATGATTCTGTTCCATTGGTAGCGTTGTGCACACACTCTGTGGCTCTGGCAAAGGGGCCAATGCAGGATGTGAGCTGTTTCCATGGTTACCAGCTCCACTCTCTCTGCCTAGCAAAAACTGTGTCATTATCCGGTGCTTTGGATGGAGGCAGAATGAAGCCGCAATGTACAGGGCAGTTTGCTCTCCTCATTTCCACCCCGGCCTGACCATGCATCTTGCATGCATCATCACAATTTGCATCATTTTCTATCTCATATACCCATTTCTGATATTCCGGGCTTCCCATTGCAGGTGGCTGTAATTTTTTGGTATAAAGATTTTTAAGCAGCACTGGTAATTTAAAGCCATAAAAGCTGGAATGGAAGCGAAAATGGATGCGCGGCTTTTCATGTGATCTTTGAGCTCCCATTTTTTGCAATTCGTGAGAGGACTTGTCACAAAGCAATTATTTTATCAATCTTCCATGCACAAACATACTTATTACTGTCAGATGTGCTATTTGATGCCATGATTCAGTCTTATTGTGGTTTTCAATGCGGGAAAACAGTTCAAACAAATGAATCCATATCATAATGACTCCATTAGATACTGTCATCACATGTATTCGCAAATAACGCGCATAACAAAAATTTGCTGGATGTAAAAGAACGTCAGTATACCAGCCAGGACACATAATCTCCTGAGTGTGTGAGTGTGTGTTTGTGTGTGTGTGATGTACTAATCTCATTAGGTAGGCCAGTGTCTGTCATTAACAGAGATGTGAAACAAAAACTCTCATGAAGATGAATGCCTATACACTCTTACACCTGTTCTGAAGCACCTCTCCTGAGTACTACAGTCAAGTTGTTTTGCTTCAGGGACAGACCTGAAGGCTTTCAGCCTCTGAGATCTGTGTTGGCTGAGAAAATATGAGCATGCCTAGCATCAGCACAGGCTTATCACTGGAGTTTGCTATGGCAAGCATCACTATTACTATTGCTCATGCTTGGAGATTAAATTTTGCCTCCTACCATGCTATGGACGTGAATAATACTTTTTTGACTATCGACCACTGAGCAACCGCACAGCAACATGCAAAGAACCACTCAGTGCACTTTGCAACTACATAGCAATATGCTAATAAGAACTCAGAGCATCTTATGGCTAGAACAGATTTTTGTTCCGGTTTACAGTCTGGAGAAGGTGATGCTAGTTGCCAAAAATCAGAGCCAGTCTGCAGATTTGAGTTGGCAGATTTCACATAGTGTATGATTTTAAAGTCTGGTAGTGTATGATCTTAAGTCGTTTAGTGTGTGCTGGCCAGTTTTTCCTCTGTAACTACTTACAAAGGCAAAGGCAAGTGTATGATGCCTAGTGTTTTAAATTCTGTTCAGATTTTAAAAGGCGTGTAGTTTATTCCATCCTTTAGCTGCTGCATAGTAACTCCTTGGCAACCATCCAGAACACCCTTGCAATGGCATAGCAATGTGGTAAGAATCTTTAAAAGTACCTTGGTGATATCCAAACACCCAAAAAAATGTGCTCATAACATCTCAACAGCTGCATAGCAACTCTTGGCAACCACCCAGAACCACCCTAGCAACTTCATAGCAACACCCTTGCAACCACATACTGTAGCAGTGTATTAAGAATCATTCAAAGTTCCTCAGTTCCTCAGCAACTGCATAGCAGTGCCCCCGGTGACCATCCAGAACACCCTAGCAAAGGACATAGCAATGTGCTCATAACATATTAACAGCTGCATAGCAACTCCTTGGCAACCACCCAGAACACGCTAGCAACCACATAGAAATGTGCCAATACTGGCAACCACCCAGAACAGCAAGTTTTTGCATATTTTTAAATATATATTTTTCATTATGGATGAAAGAGATTTGATGTGTTCTAGCAGGTTCAAAGGTAAAAGGCGAGAAAGTAACATATCTTTAAGATGAATTGCTACGCCCTCTTATTTTTAAGTACCCAGCATGGGTTTAAAACAAGGCGTCTTATTGAAAGGCCTCCTTCCTGCATGCAAGCTCGTTGTGAGTCTTGATTTGAGAGCGTGAAGGCAGGCAGCGTGAGCTTCGCTCATATGAAAAGGGAGGAGGTACTGCTTGACTGAAACTATGACTCGGGTACTGCTTGACTGAAACTATGACTCGCTGCCAGCAGGGAGAGAGAATCTGCTAATCAGCGTGTGTCTCTGCTCTGTTGTTTACAGCACCCAACACCGCTCCGTATGGAAGTACAGGAGGCGCTGAAGTCCTGCTGGCCTGCCGGTACCTGATCCTGGCTCTCTCTTCTCTCGTCAGCGTTTACTAGCCCTGGGGATGGCCATACACAATGACTGTAAAGAACCCTTTTGAGCATTTACAGATGCTTTGACATTGCTGATGGCTGGATCCAATCTGGTACAGTGTGTTTGGAAAGCAGCGAGGGATTTTAATCAGCATTGCTTATGTTGGGATGGTAATTTTCTTCTGTGGTGTTTGTCATCATGTAAATACATATGGTTTTAGAGGGTTGGTTTTCTTTCTCTTGTCTTATTTTCTGTTCTTTTCTTTTCTGATTTTCCACTTTGTGAATCAGCACACATTGTCCCCTTCGAATGCTCACAAATTAGCCAAAAGCACACTTTGGAAAAGAGAGGGTGTGTGACATTAGTATCTTTGTTGAAAAAGGAAAGATGCCCTAGTGTGCCACCTTGTTCTCCGTGCTGATACATCATTCTCATACCCATAAAATGGGCAAGGTGTTTAAATAATGTGTTTTTTGCCGAGCTCATTTAAATCCAGTGAACCAAGAAACAATGTTTAAGATTTCACAAAGGGAGAGATATTGAAATTTATATCAAAAGTGATTCAAAGGCGAAGTGAACGATTGAAGAGCAGCTTTAGTTTAATACTCTAATGTACATGGTTTTTCCACTGACAGTGAAATATGATTATTCATTTTCTGGACCAAAACTACAGCCATACCTCAATGGTTTAGACCTCTGGGCTATAGACCCCAATTGCATTTAACTGAATTATGCAGAGTACGATCATAAACCTTTCTAGTTATTCTAGAAATACATGAATTAGTTGTTTTACTGCAGGAAAACATCCTCCTAGATTGCACTCGAGATTAAAATATGTAAACGTATGCAATAAATTTGCCTCTTGTGAAACTATTTGTGAGCCTAATTGTAAAATTAAAATGAGCCTCATGCAGTGGTCAAAAGGTTGTAAAACTGCAAAGCAGAGTTATAGAGCTGTCCTTTCTGCCCTGGGGGTCTTTAAAATAAGAGCTCTAATATAAAAAATGAATAGTGAAAATGCCTGTGTTGCATTTGATGTTATATTAAATAAGAGATAAAAATAGCGCATAAAAGACTTTCTTTAGTTGTCAGCATGCAAAATAATGTAACAGGCCAATCCAAAGTAAAAAGTGGAGGGAAATATTTGATGTGCACTTTGATTAAATGACGAAATTATGAACAGTGACTAATGGAACTTATCATTCAACTAATTATTGTCTTTTTTTATGTTTTATGGTTGTAATAATTTGAACAAGATTTTTATAATGTATTAACATATTACCTGCTTTGCTTCTGTCAGTGTGAAATAGGTTTGAATAGGGAAGCAGAAAAAAAGAATATGCACTTCCCTTGTGGGGACAATATGAAACTTTCAAGTGTGGATCCAAACATGTGAATGAATATTATTTCAAAATACGTATGCAGTATGGCATAGTTTACAATGTTGTCTTTCATTTTAGATGCCACAACTGTTGTTGATTCTTGTCAAGCGAGTAGAAGTTGGAAAAAAGAACCGTTTGTAATCAAATAATCTACTTTTAACTCAGAGGGTGTGAACCAGTCATACGGTATAATAGAAAACGAGTCACGTGTGTGTATATTCGAAGAAAGTAGAATTCATTTTATCTTATAGAACCAGTGTGTAGGTTTAGTTTAACCTCTACCCTAGTTCCCACACACTTGTTGTATACTAAGATGTGCAGAAATTATAAATGTGCTGCATGTCAAATTAATATGTATGTTAAGGTGGCCACTTACCATAAATCGATAATTTGAGAACAAAACCAGTTTCGAGGCTGCTTTGACTTAATGAGATGTGTTCCACACTACTGAACATCACTTGGCCTGTCTGTTGAGCTACGATGAAATGTTCTTTCTATGTGAAAATCATCACAGAATAATTTCTGCTCAGTGTGCAATACTGGGTCCTTTCCTATGGACTATATTTAGGCTATTTGGTTAACGTGTGACAAGTTTACATTCTTTTTGTGTATTATTTCTTGCACAAAATACATTTTCACTGACAAGAAGAGTCGGAATATTTCACACTTACAACAGATATATTCTGACATGAGATTTTAGTTTGAAGAATCAATCACAGAATCATATAGATTTTACCTATATGTCCCTTTGCATATTACTGACCTGAATGCCTCAAAGATCAAACCAAGGGATGTTTAAATATTCATCGCTGTGAAGGCCTGGCTCTCGCCATTGTGATGTAAAAAGTAACATTGCACTTGCTTATCATTACCACAAACCTCCATAATCGCAGATTAACACCAATCACTTTGACAGTTAAATACGCTGCATTTCATTTCAACGTGAAATAACATTTTGAGTCAACTCTAGAAGCAAGTACTGTATAAAATGTGCCTTTAAAACTATTAATTGATATGATCTGTTGCCATTCCGTGTCAAATGCCATGTCTAAGCCTCATAAGCATTTGCCATGCAAACCAGACAAATCAGTGTTGTGCAGTATTTCTGGCTTTCAGTCCAAACTAAAAGCTAATGAAAGGGGCAATTTTTTTTTTTAAATGTCTACCCATTTTGAGTTCTGTAGAGATATAAGTAGCACATGCTCTTTTAATAAATATTGTGAATGAAACGTTAACAAAGAGCTCATTAAAGCATCATTAAAACTGCATAAGTGGATATCAAGATAAAAAAGCAGACAAGAGCATTCATGCATGCATAATTCTCCTGAAAGTTACAGCCTTTCAAAAGAGTCTGTAAATAACAGACAAACGTGATGCAAATTTTCACTCTGAGCATCTAATGACTTGATAATCACATTCCTGGACATGCATTAATATTCAATGACGAGTTTCGAAATTTCTCCCGTCAGCCAAGCACTAATTCACAGAGTCGTGACAGGTAAACGGAACTTGTGTGGTGCCGGTGGTCATGAAAACCCGATAGTCCGGTGCTATTTTCGAATGGGTTCAAATTACTGCAAGCAGCATGGTATGTTGTGGCCCGAGGAGACCCCTTGGGTTCCAACACGTTCCCAGAGTACACGTCGTGTGGTATGAGGCAGCAATTTCGGTACTTTTTAAAATCCTATGAGCACATATCGGTATAAAAAATATTTTGGATGTGTAACCCACCCGTGTATGGTCCAAAAAACCCAAACATTTAAGATACTTCATCTCCTATCTCGAGCGAAGCTGCTGGCAAGACAGAATGAAGGTGGTAGGCAGTATTTCAATGATTAAAAACCTGTCAGCTCCATCTCTGTCTTGGCCAGACTCTTTTGAAAGTCGGTTTGAGAGTGCTGTGTGTGCGGTCAGGGGAGGTGATTCTTCTGACCTGGCAGTTAATAAAATTCTTCCTGTGCCTTTGTCAGTTTCTGGAGGATGATTTTGTGGAGTGCTGGAGGGTGCTGCATTAACCAGCTGTGAGCCCTCACTCTCCCAGCAGCACTCTGGCAGGGCTGACGGTAATCTACATAAACCTCTGTCCTTTTCAGAACGCTTGCCAGTAATTGCAGTTTTGCTGTATTCTAATTGACTCCATGGAGCACCGTAAAGAACAAAAACCTATAATCCTTCGCGAAGCCCATTTGGTTTGCGGCCATTGTGTTAAACCTTCAAATGATACGAAACTGATGACAAATGAAGCGGCCGCCATGACTGTACTTAGCCGGTAGGAACGTTCATTGGCAAAATATTTGTCTGGATAATAAAGTAGCTGCCAAAACGAAAATGAGTGAATTCTAAAGCTTTTTTTTTTTTTTCCTCGCCATGAAGTGTTTGTCAGCCCTCTCGCTCATTATTTTCACTGAGCTGGAAAATAAGTTAGCCAAGCACTGATGCAGTGGTTCTGATAATGCTAAGGTTTTAGCAGAGCCGTCTTTCGCTGAGCTCTGTTTGAAACCGCCGATTGTGTCTCATCAGGAGAAATGTTTAACGTGAAAAGCAAGGGATCAATTTAAAACGCAAGTCCAGGGTTTTATAAAAACACACCATTCTGTTTTATTCACCGTTATGTCTCATTAGATGTTGGTTGGCCTGGTAATTGTTGCTAGCTGTTTTGAATGGCATGGGCTATTTGTGTTGGCACCGTTCATATCTTAAGCAGTTATTTTGTGAAGTGGAATAAGTCCACCAGTGAAACCACCCGTCTGCTACTGAGTAATTGAGCACAGAGAACACCCGCCAGAACAATCCAAATTTAAACTAATGCTTTTTGAAAACATTTGGTGAGCTTTGGTTACTTTTTGTATATACATGTTCATTTGATTTCGGTACCTTTTATTTTGTTTTGTTCAATTTGGTGACTAAGTAAAATGAACATTGTAACCATATTGGGATGGCTGTACTTTTATTTCCTCAACTCTTGAAGCTGAAATTTCTGTGATGAGAAATTTGAAATGGTCATCTTTACTTACATATGTATGGAGATACTTTAGCCACCAGGGATATAGTTGTATATTTTAGGCTCTAGATCACTGGAATGACATATATGGCTTTAAGTGGCATTGATATATATTGATATTTGTCAAGAAAAAAAAAAAGAATCATATACTTTAATTACTTTAAAGCTTACATTGTGTATAGCACGTATGCAAGTTCATTTTCATCATGTTTGATGTAATTTTGTAGCAGTGGTTTGATACTAATAAAGTTGGAAGTTGGTGATGGAACTGTGAAATGTGCATTACATGATACTTAATGAAATGTTGTTATTTTTAAAGTCATCTGCATATGATATAATTAAGACAGAATGCAAGATGGTGTGTTTAATTGCATTTAAAATAAATATGAATACATTTAAATTTATTTCCAGTAATTAAGACTACAGACTTCTATGTGAAAATGTTACATCCCACATAATGTCGCACTCACTGTAATAATGAAAACAACTAATTTGTTAGTTAATTTGTTTATTTTTTTCTGTCCTTTTCAATCAAGTGCCATAGATAGACCCATTTAAAGTGCATTTACACCACAGTGCTGATCATGTAGTTGACAGTGACATTTTCTCTCATTATGGAAACATTCCTCATGCTATAGCAGGATTTTTTTCTGTCTTTCATGTTAACATTCCTCATTTGGTTTCTCATCAGGAAAATAATGTACTGGTGGGTCTGTTGAAGTCTATAGAGTTAATCCCAGTCTTTGAATTTCCATGTCAGTGGTGCATGGCCTGCTACACTAGGATCCAAGCAGCGCCTCATGGGAGACAGCGTTTTATGTGTGCTGGAAACAAGCTGACCTCCTGCTGCACTTGATGAAAAACCCAAATTGCCAAAAAAGACCATTCCCCAGTGACTACATTTGTACATCTTGTGCAATTCATGTTTATAGAGTGCATTCTACACTAAAAACCTTTCACCTTTCGTGGTGAAAAACACGTTGTATAAGCATGGTCACAAAGAGAATCATACCCAGAGTTTAGTGTGGAAATGATTTAGTACTCTGAGTCTGTCAGCCTCCGCCCACATCCCTATGACAGATGTCCACACTGCAGCATATTTATCTTTCATTTGGAGATCAGGCCAGGTCATTTTCAATGGCCCTCTTAAAGCCTCAGTTAATGGCCCACATCACAGTGTTCCTTCAACTTCAAGAAAATGCTGCACTGAATAAAGAACACCAGTTGGAGGAGGTGTAACGTTGCAGTGTTTTTTTTTTTATTTTTTTATGTGTTTATTTTTGCACTATGCATCTCAAATTTTGATATAATATTTATATTTATCTGCTACAAATTAAAGTAGAAACAATACAACTCAATATTTGGTATATTCAAGAGGATTACATTGTAGCATTAAAGGGGTCGTATGATGCGATTTCAATTTTTCCTTACTAAGTTACAAGATCTTGGTGCATAAAGAAGATCTGTAAAGTTGCCAAGACTAAAGTCTCAATTCCAAAGAGATATTCTTTATAAAACGGCTCGTTCTAACACACCCCCACATGTCTACATCAGGATGTGGGAAGATCTGCATAACGCCGCCCAAATGTTCACGCAAAGAAAGAAGGCGTAACTTTTATTCTCACTGTAGTATTGTTGTTGCCGCCGCTGCCATGTCGTGAAGGTGCTGTGTGTTTCGTTGTGAAAATGAAACTACTTTGTTTGGCCTTCCAAAAGAGGACGATATCCGCTTCGTCATGCCTAGAGCTGATCCGTGCTGGTCGCTGAGGAAATACATCAACTTCACGCTGTGGCTGTGGATCGCCAGATCGGCTTTCACCATGGACGAAGCAGAGTCCAGCCCGGGGTCGCCACGTGTGGTTGCCGCAAGCCTAGTTTGTTTGGCCTTCCAAAAGAGGACACGACTAGAAATCGGTGGTTAAGTTGTATTTACAACACTGT